ATAAGCCACACGAATGGAAAAACTCACAATTGAATTTATAATATATAAATTTAATAAAACTAATTTTACGATTGGCTAAGAGTCGTCGTCAATGCCAGTGCAGATTGAACAATGAAGATGAAGAAAAGCCAGATATTAGCAGACATGTGATTCTACACGAAGAAGCTAACAATACGATAGGCTGAACATTTGAGTAACGATTAAGTTTTAAGAAAAATGGACACAAAATGTATAATTGTACTTAGAATCACAAAACATTCTTGGGGGTTACAATGAGGAAGGCGGACTTGCGGAATTTGACCTTCACATGATATATTGAAGGCAAGAGTGATAGAGGAGAACAGCCAATAAATTACCGAACGAATCTTTGCGGTAGAACAAAAACTGGGAGAGAAAACATAAAGATTACTAAGATTTACAAAAGATAGGAGGTTGTGGAGAGTCATGACCGTCTACGTCCTGAAGAGATACGACCCAAATAAGAAGTATTATGATGACGAGCATAGATAACCGTTTCGTGGTTTTATGTTATCCATTTTGTCTTAAAAACAGAAAAATGGAAAAACTCCGTCTGTCCTAGAATAGTGTTACATTTCGTGTTTAAAATGAGTTTGCAAATTCTAAAACTTTTATGGGCCAGAGATGAAAGCATCTTTAAGGTGAAGACCATTTTAAAAATGTTTAAAGTTCAAAACGATGACGATCCGTTTACAATAGACATGAAAAACAATAGAAACAAACCACAACGTTAAAAATATTTTTTTGGAAATAATTAATCAGAGCGTCGTAATAAATCAGGTGAACGGAAGTAATTACTTTCCCGAAGTAGAACTCTCCATATATAAAAATATGTAACACAGACTACGCCTGAAGTACGCAAATTTAATCTAAATAAATAATCTAAATAATATCTTTCTTATAGTTTATAACATCAATGTCTGCGACATAATACACGTCACATTTGAATATACGTTTCAAACACTGAATGCAGCAACTATTATGAAATAAGGGAAGTATTTTATGGCCAAACAAAATCCATGTTTGATTTTGTTAATATTTCAACTTTTATTCCAATTATTCTCACTACTTGACGAGCAGAAATATTTCCTGTTTATTTATTTATCGGAATACGTATATGTAGAGTAGAAGTCCTCTTGTTCTCGAACAAATACTATGTTCAAAGATTTTATTCAGCAATCATAATGTGTTCTTGTTGTAATCCAAGTGAAGTAGAGCTGGTGACTCCTATTAAGTCTATAGTGTCACATTTTTACGGACGTTCATCTACCACGCGGATGTAAGATGTGATCCAAAAGATCAGTTTGTCGTTTTAAGCACCAACTCTTCGCATTCCAAAAATGGATTTTCTATCAGAGTTTGCTCCCATACCTTATAATACATGGTATCTCCAAGATCGACGTAGACTAACAACATTGTTTGGAATAGAGCCCATGGTCTGAGCGCGAATTAGCTGTAAGGAATAGCTGTCTACTCAAACACCTATACCCACTAAATATAGGGTGAATAATAATAATAATAATAATAATAATAATAATAATAATAATAATTCAAAATGGAGTTTCAAAAGGGTGCAGAAATACAAGTAAAGCACAATACACTGGCTAAAGCTGCAAAATACTTAAAAAAGAAAGCAAAGACAAATGCAACCGACCAGATACAGAAACAATGGCAAGATAAACCGCTTCATGGCTAATACTCTGCCCGTACAAAACAAGCTGACGTAGACAAAACCCGTACCCATCAGTGACTACGTAGTGCAGGGTTGAAAGCTGAAACTGAAGGTTTTATCCTTGCTGCACAAGACCAATGCTTGTTAACTAGGAATTATCAAGCACATAAAATATTGTGTTAGCCCAAAATGCAGATTCTGTGATAAATATCCAGAAACAATTGATCATCTTTTATCAGGTTGCACGATATTGGCACCCACTGAGTATAAAACCTGGCATGACAGAGTGGGCCAACATCTGCCCTGGAAAATATGCAACTTCTACGGGAAGGAAACTGAAAGAAACTGGTGTGAACACTACCCGAACCCGGTTACCGAGATAGGACCTGTTAGAATTCTATGGGACTATACAATACACACTGACAGAACAATAAAAGCCAACCGCCCAGACATTGTTATTAGAGACCACAAACAAAACAAGTTCGTCCTTATTGATATGACAGTCTTTGCAGACTGCAATGTATCTTTGAAGATATTCAAAAAGCTGTCAAAATACAAGGACCTTGAAATAGAAATCTCGAAAATGTGGCACATGGGAACCTTAGTTGGAGCCCTAGAATTGGTTGGAAAAGATTCCAGTAGACTAATTGAAGAGATTCCTGGAAGTCTATGCCTCAAAGAGATACAAAAAATTGTTCTGGCAAGTACAGCCAACACTTTACGAAGGGCTTTATCTATGTATTTTTTTTCTCAGTGGAAAGTGTCATGATGCCATTTCTAACCTTAGGTCCATGTGCGGGACCCGGAAAG